CCTGCAAGAGCTAACCCAAAACCCTAAACCCTAAACCCCTAAAACCTAAACCCTAAACCCTAAACCCCTAAAGCCTAAACCCTAAACCCCTAAAGCCTAAACCCTAAACCCCTAAACCCTAAACCCTCTAACCGTGAAGAGAGAGGGCGCGAGATTTGAAGCCCTCACTCTGACAGGAAACCGGACAAAGGAGGCCCAGCCTGCCACTATCCGCCACTTTTACTACTACTACTACTACTACTACTACTACTACTACTACTACTATTACTACTACTACTACTACTACTACTACTACTACTACTACTATTTCTCTAATTTGGTATGTCTTGTTCCTATTCCTATTCCGATCATGATTACTATGACTATTTCTATTACTGCTATTCCTATTACGACTACTATTGCTATCCCTATTCATAGTATCCCTATCACTAACCCTATTACTATTGCTAGTACTATGATTTTTATTATTACGATGACGATTACGATTACAATTACGATTACGATTACGATTACCATTACGATCACGACTACGATTACGACGACGACTACTACTACGACTACTACTTTATCTTGCTATGTATTGGGTATCTTTGCAAAACCGGTAGCAGGCGCTCGTGGCTAGATGTTATTGAATTTCGAACATAGCCGATAGGGGCCGACTTTGCAAAACCGGTAGCAGGCGCTCGTGACTAGATGTTTTTGAATTTCGCACATAGCCCATAATGGCGCTCTCCAGGTGAAGCAAGAAAGTTTAACCGCTACTCAGATGTCCGTCTCGCTCTCTAGCTGGCTCTCCCTCTCTCTGTCTCTCTGTCTCTCTGTCTCTCTGTCTATCTCTCTCTCTCTCTCCCTCTCTCTCTCTTTACGTATGTATGTATGTATGTGTGTATGTATGTATGTATGTAGGTCTGTAGCAACAGCTACCCCTACGATTGTCTTCGAACGTGATAGTGATTTTCGGCATCATCTTCAAGATTCGGATGCGACTTTGGGCTTTGGGCTTTCTGTAGCGAAAGAAGACATGAGTGTTTTTCTGAACGATGCGGGCTGCCAACAGTTGGTTCTCCGCTTTTGGCGGGGGGGGTCCCCACGCTGACATGATCCTTCAGGTCTGGAAAACAGAACCGTGGCCAAGAGAGTGCATACTAAACCCTAAAACCTAAGCCCCACGCTCCTAAAGCCGAGCCCCTATAAACACAAAACCCCAAACGTTTAAACCCCAAACCCCTCAACCCAAAACCCCGGAACCCCTAAACCCCCCAAACCTGAATCCGCAAGCCGCTTGCAGGAAGGAGCAGACCGGCATTCTCCCGACATACCTCACGAGACTCGGACATTTAGGGCTTTAGGGTTTTGTTTTGCTTGGGGTTTTAGGGTTTGTGGTCCAGGGTTTGAATTTTAGGGTTTTCCTGTTCAGGGTTTAGGTGTAAAAAAATGCAGGGTTTAG